CTTTCTTCTTTCTTTTTTTCGATTTAAATAGTCTCCTTTTTTTAAAATTCGCATGATAAATTCTCATTTGTTGAAAAAGGAGTTTAAATTTCCTTCTCTTTGATGAATACTACTTCCAGTGAATTCTTAATAACCTAAAAACTTTTTCTTAAATTCCAATTCACCTCTTTATTTAGAGGATAAATTCAATGAAATCCAATCCTCTAAAGGTTGATGGTATCACCAGTATCATCCGGATACTGTCACATTTGTGAATTATAACTTTATTCTATATGCTCTTCACCTATTCATTTAGAGGTATAGATTCGATGAAATTCTCTAAGTGTTGATGGTGTCACCGGTATCATCCGAATATTGTCACATCTGTGAATTATATTCTATATGCTCTTCATCTATTCGTTTAGAGGATAGATTCAATGAAATCCTCTAAAGGCTGATGGTATCACCGGTGTTATCCAAATACTGTCACATTTGTGAATTATAACTTTATTCTATATGCTCTCCATCTATTCATTTAGAGGAATAGATTCAATGAAATCCTCTAAGTGTTGATGGTATCACCGATATCATTCGGATATTGTCACATCTGTGAATTATAACTTTATTCTATATACTCTATATCATCATTATTAACTTTACTTTATTAATTTTGATATCAAAATTATCACATTATCATTATATTTGCTAATAGAGAACTAAAGAATGATAAAATAAGCCAAAGAAATCAATTAGTCAATTCTAATAAAATCAATTTTTTAGCCCAGCTGATAAATAGCTCAAGCAAGCATTATTTTGGTGGAGAAACAAAACAATATGTGTTAAGATAAAGATGATAAAATTTAAAATGCAGAATTTCATTTCACACTTTTCTCGCTCCTTTTAAAGTAGGTACCCAACTGGTAGGAAAGTGAAACATTTCCTAGTAGGCCTAGTCACGACATATTACACTAATAATACGGGAATGATTATGAAATGTAACTTTTCCAAAATTTTCAATATAAAATTTATCATAAGAATAAAAGACAAAAAAAGCCGACAATCAATAAATGATAAAATCAAATGATATCGCTTATAATGTAAAAATGATAAAAAATTTTTTTGCATAATTAAAAACTATTCATTTGATAAGTAATAATAATAATAATACAAATATTCTCATGAAATATTGCGTGAAATATTTCTGAGGAAGTATTTTAAAAAAAAGGCCCTATTTATTATATTAGCCTAATAGTGAAAGAATGATTTTGATGTTTAATGGGATATAACGGGACATCAAATATAGCGGGATGGGATTTTTTTTTCAATGAGTTATAAGAATATGGTAATTTAAAATGCGATAATAAAATTATGGCAATCTTATTGTTGTTATTGCATTATTATTATTTGTTATTTATTTACCTATTATTACTATTACTGTTATTTACTGTTTACTATTTATTATTTATTACTCATTATTATTAATTGTTGATCTTTTCAGTAAATTAGGAAAATACAGTAATTTAAAATACGATAATAAAATTATGGCAATTTCATTGCATTATTATTATTTATTTATTGCTTATTGTTTATTTATTTATTTATTATTACTATTGTTATTATTTATTTATTATCATCAATTACTGGTTATCAATTATTAATTTTTATTTTTGCCATAACAATAATTATTGTTATTAATTATCACAGATGGCACTAATTGTCATCAACATGACAGCAACAACATCACAATCAACTCATCACTAAATATCATATTAAAATTACCATACTATTGTTGTCATCTCTATTATAACTACTCTTTTCTTCTATTATTCAGTGAATTATGGAAAGCAGTTATTTTACAAATTATCAGCATCATTATGATCATTATCGCTATATAATTATTATTTACCAAATGATATTTCTTTCATCACCTTATCATTATACCATCCTATCACTATCACTTCAATAATCAACCGTTATCGAATTGCATACTACATTGCCTCTACTAAAGTTATTTACTTTATCATAAAATTTTCTTTTTTTTACATATGAATTAATAATGATTGAATATAAACTATACAATATAGTAAATTTGAAATTAATTAGGTTGGAATTTTCATTATGCTTTTATGAACAAAAGTAAAATTTCATTCTCGTCATATAAAAATACTTTCTTTTCTTAATTAGAAATGAAATAATTATTTGTATCACTAACTTTTTATTTTATATGATATAGTAAAAGATTTCCATATTGAATTCATTAAATGATATGAATTTCAAGATAAAAATGAAGTGTGATTTTCCATTCTGTTTAATTTAACAAATTAATTAAAGTGTTGAAACAATTATTTTATTTTTTCGATTTTCAATTAATCATATATTTTTTAAAAAAGAGAGAATGCCGTTAATTTCATGCCAATTCTACATGGATTAAGCGGTCATTGAACATGGAAATTTGAGGAAGTAAATGTTATTTGATAGCTTAGAATTAAATGACTGATAGATGGATGATATGTAAATATTGCAAAATTTCTAAAAATATTCCATCATAGTTGAAAAGTTTGAAAAGAGGGATAAAAATTTTCAACGAAAAATTATTGCAACGATGATAATAAAATATGTTGTTGAAATTTTAAAATAAATTTTAAAAGATTGATAATTGCTCAAATTATGAAAAAATCAATAAAAAATTTCCTTTAATAGTTTCATTGATGATAAAACGTTAAAGGTAAACAAGAGAAATTAAAAATTCGTAATTTATCAATAATAACAAAAAGAAACAAACAAACAAACAAATAAACAAACAAATAGCAATAACAAAATTGAATTCATTTTTTGGAAGGTAACAGATGCATTGAGGTGAGAGGAAGAGAAGGGTCATGATTGGACAATGGAATCTTAATGGTCACGAAGTGGTGTGACATGCAAATGAGGAGCAAACCGCTTTTGTGTTTCTTTTTTCTTCATCTTTCCAATGGGCCATTTAACAACAAAAGAATCGACTATTCTATTTTACCTTGATTCTTCTTACTTTCACTATTACTACTATTTCTAGGTTAAAGAGAGGTCATTTTTGATATCACCGAAATTAATTCATTTATGAATAATTGATAGCTTTTCCGATACAACAAAAAATTTCCAATAATTCTTGCAATATCGATTTTCCGCTTCGCAGATATGATTGAGTCATATTAAATTGGCGATTAAAATTTTATTATAAAATGTTAAGATATAATAGCAGCATTTAGTAATATTCATTCTCTATTAAAACAAGAGGATGCATAATTAAAAACAAAATAAAACATAATTTATCAGATGATATTTTTAATTATACAAAAGAAAAAGTAAATGAAAGGATCGATTGGAATAGCTTTTAAATTTCAACCTTTTTTTGACTTTTAATTCTTACCTTAAATTAAAGAAAAGGTAAATAGTTAATAACTAAACGAAAGAGAGGGAGAGGAAGATAGAGAGAGAGGAAGGGACGAAGAGAGGGACAAATCGTGGATGGACAACAAATCGAAAAGATGGAATATAAATTGATGATCCTTGATCGAATATTCAATATGATGATACGTACAGGGAGAGAGAGAGAGAGAAGCAGAGCGCTATATATAGAGCATAAATCGTGCGACAGAAGGATGTCATATGGATGAGGGAAGATTAGCAAGAGGTTAGCTTAAGGTAATAACGGAGGATGAAATGGATGTATGAGAGATTGTCTAGACAGATTAGATATTCTTTATCGTCGAAACATCATTTCGTACATGTGTATTTCTGCATACTATGTAGCTTCTATTGGTCATCTTAGGGTTACTGCTCATTGTCTAATTACAAATCAACGATGTAACACGAATTTATCTTATCAATGAGATTAGTGAGTAATTTACAAAAAGATTTATAGATTTAAGATAATCAATATTTCTATCTGACCGTTTTCCGGAATCTTGAAATTCTTGAATTTACTTTCCTCGAGATTTCCTCAAAATTTGAAATGAATTGCTACATCACAGAAATGATCTTCAAGAATAATTAAAGGATTTTACAAAGCTAAACATAAATGGTATTTCGGAATTGAGTTTATCTTGAAGGAAAAGAATTTGAAATTTAAAATTTAAAATAATCCTAATAATTTCAGGAAAACTTAACAGATATTTCTCAACTGCATCTACGTTCTAACAAAATGTCCATTTCTGTTGCATAAAAAAATCAGATCTTTCCTGATCTGAGTGATTGAAAAGATAAGCAATCATTCGTAATGACATATCACATCACATCAACATATCCATAATTTCCCGTTTCCGTTATCCGTTAACGAATAACGCCTTCTTTAATACCTTCTTCATTGTAAATATGCAAATGTGTTATTTATATTTACAATTCCTATTATTTAATTCAATTAAATTTTAATAACAATAATATTTAGGAGGGTGAATGAAAAGAGTAAGAAAAATGAATATTAACAATTGTTAATAATTTGTTCAAAAATAAAATGATTTATTGATTGATAAAAATTTCTTTATCGAATATCATAGTAGGCATATTTTATGATATTACAAAATTATTTGAGGCCTATGATTCGATGCATAAGTTAAACATATATTATTGATTGAAATGAACTATGAATATCTTTATAGTGAATTAGAATAATGGATGATCGGAAAAATTCAATCAATAATAATTCATTTTATATTATTCGTAATTTTCCTATTCACTGATTAATTTTTAAGTGCTCCTTAATATGTCACTACTTAACTTGAGATTAGCAGTTTGAAGAATATCAAGAAATCTTATCAATTAAAAATGTGTGTAATATTGAGAGGGAGAGAGAAAGAGAGAGAAAGGGAAACAACAGCAAGGGTAAAAGTAAGATGATTCAATCTTTTTATACTTTATCTAATCCCTTCGTAGTGAAATGATCAGAGAGAGCTATTTCAGTTAGCTATTCCTCTAACTTCTCCAAAACAACTTATCATTATTCTTCACCAGTAATTTATGCTATCATCATTTTTAACATATATGTTATGTGTACATATCATCAATATGGATTAGACTATAATAATATCAAGGTAGATTAAGTTACCAGATCAAGCTAATTGCTAAAATATAATTCAAAGACTTCCACTTCATGATTCATTTTGAAAATTTCTCAATGAAATTTCCCAAAGTTTAATTACCTTTTCAAACATTCAATTATTAGTATGTATTTTACTGTCAGGAAAGTTCTACACTGCAATTGATAGCAGCAAATTAGTTTATTCTCATAAGCATTTATATAAAATGAAATCCTACCTTTGAGCAAGATAACACGTGTTGTATTTGTATCAAGTTTATCATCCTGTTAAAAAACTACTCGAAGTTGACGACCAACAAGTAGTATTTGAAATGCATTAGCATTATTTAATTTAAAGTTTGAAGTTAAAAAAATCTTACTCTGTTGTATTCTTCAATCTATCAGATAACATAAGCCAGCAATAATTTTTTGTTATTTGGAATAGCATTATATCTTTGCTTATCGAGCAGTGTCAGTTAAAAGAAAAAGTCCGTGCTTTTTAGAAACTTGAAGTTTATTTGTCATACAAGATATGCAGGAGCAAGTTATTGTCATACAAGATTTGCAGGGCAAGTTATTGTCATACAAGATTTGCAGGAGCAAGTTATTGTCATACAAGATTTGCAGGAGCAAGTTATTGTCATACAAGATTTGCAGGAGCAAGTTATTATCATACAAGATTTGCAGGAGCAAGTTATTGTCACACAAGATTTGCAGGAGCAAGTTATTGTCACAGAAGATTTGCAGGGGCAAGTTATTATCATACAAGCAGGAGCAAGTTGTTGTCACACAAGATTTGCAGGAGCAAGTTACTGTCATACAAAATTTGCAGGAGCAAGTTATTATCATACAAGATTTGCAGGAGCAAGTTATTGTAACACAAGATTTGTAAGAGCAAGTTATTGTCATACAAAATTTGCAGGAGCAAATGCTTGTAATTTAGCAAGTTCTTTATAAAATCATAGAAAAATGCGTACACATTTGTTCGAAAAGAAAGCAACTAAGTACGAAGCAAATTGCAACATAAAACAAACTAACCGAAAGAATTTTTTTCCTACTAAACTATTAGAAAGTTGCTGTGGATGATTTAAAAATGAAATTGCAAAATCTTATCCAAAAACAATTTAGTTCTTCACTGCTATTCTTAAATCCAAGAAATATATCAGACTTTTTCAGCAGCCAATATTTTCCATTTTCTCTTCGCACGAAAAAGTATTCGATTCCCTTTAGAACTGCCTATTTCTAAAATTTTTTAAAATATGTATGATTCACACTATCATTCTTCTCTCATGAGCCATTTTTATTCCGACAGCAGAAAAGAGAAATTTAAATGCAAATATAAAAAGAATAAAACATAAATATATAAAAAGTTCATGACAAATATAATGAATAAGACATATACAAAAGTTTCATGAAGTTCATGAGAAGATACCCGCAAATATGATAAGACAGAAAGCTTCTCCAGATTACATCTCGATTGATTAATGGACCTCATCTAGCATTCCATATTTCCCCATATTCATTAGATACAACCTATTATATAACTGAAGAACATACAATCAAGCATACTCAGTATTAGCGTTATTAGAAGCTAACATTTAAGAAGTACATATATATCAAATAGAGTAATAATGTACATAAAATATAGCATACAAGGAAATATAATTTTGAAATACTTCCGATTTGCAAGTGTTGAAAAAAATTACTTCTAAGAATTAGGAGATTAGGTCCAATAATTCCTGAAATTTCAAGGAAGCAAGAAATTATTTACACATAAGCTTCAAACGAGATATTTTTTTAAAGTCAAAATATGTGAACAAGTAAGTTCCTTTTGAAACACCAGTGATTAACTTTCAAATTATCATCATATCTGGCAATGATGTGCTTGAATACCCTTGTTAGGAAGACCGAGAACTATCACGGGTTACATCCAGTTGTTGCAACTGAGTCTGCAGGAAATCGATCCGACTATCCTTCCAATGGATTTCATACCGTAAACTCTCTATATCTTGCTGAAAAAAGAATAAGGACTGCCAAGAAGGTTGAAATGTTAACAAAACCGAAGAATTTGAATATGTTTAGGTAAAATGATTTGAATTTCGCACAAAACCATAGTTGATAGAAATTTTGTTTAGAACTTCAAAATGAAATAAACAACAGAAAAAAGATAGAAACATGCAATAAGCTCTAAGGACACTCATATCTATCTTTTCATTGAAAGAAGTGATTAAATACGCTAGTATAAGAATAAGAATTCAAGAATAACGTAAATAAGATGATTGGTGAGCAGAAGTGAAAAACATAAACTAAATTCTAAGTTCAAAAGTTAAGCTAAATTCAGATAAACAATTTAACATAAAATAAAACAAAAAATAAGTCAAAAAACTTGCTAGTTTAACTATTAAAAAAATCTATTCCCATAAGTACCACCTAAAAATTTTAATACAGTAAAAGTAATATGCGGAATACTAAGTCCATTTGGAATTCTGACTCTTCCACATAAGAAAAGAACCAGGATACAACATATTGCAGAAACAGAAATTTTCATGAAATCCAAAATTTTCTTCAGAGTTTGCGACATTGCAACTCCTGAGACATTAAAAAGTGCCTGCGCATTGTTAACCTTTTGATAATGGGTCAGAAATGCATTCATCCTTATAAAATGCTAAAAAATCGATTAAGAAAGATTGCTATTTTATAACTAAAACAGAAAATTGAAGAAAAAATAATTGTACCTAAGCTTAACAACATGTTGCCTCTCTCCTCAACTATTTACCAGCCTCCAGTTTTGAACACGCTATTAGTCTTAGAAATTGCAGCAGTAAATTTAAAATCAGCAATGCTCCGGTTTTTTTCGGATAATCTTTCCAATAGTTGCAAAATAAAATTTTAGTATCTTTCTCAATATCTTAGAAAGATGACTAAATTGAAAGATTTAACAGATGAGTTTTGAGATGGTTTTCATTATTGATTTTATAAGATACATGCACTAATAAATTTTACAAACTTGTCAGTAAAGTACATGGTGATGTAGTTGATATGATTACAAGAAGTAACAAAATATTTTAAGGCTTAAAGTAACGTACAAATGAGCCAATCAAAACGATATAAATAAGATAAGATGTAAGCTCAAGCGTTATGTTCATCCAATAATTTCTCTAATAAGTATAACGTTAAATAGAATTATCAAGTATATAACTACCACTGATACTGAAATCGAAAAACATGTTCAAATTCTATCTAAAAAGTTGCAGACATTTCAACCTGTTGCAGATGAACAATTTTTTCCAATTGTTCGCATCTACTTCGACATTTCCATAACTCACGTTCCATTTCCCTCAACACATTCACCATTGCTTTTTCCGAAAAACTGCCACGACTGCTGTAATTGATCAGTAAGCTAGATTAACCTTATAATGATTTAAAAACACTGAAAACATCAGAATAAGATTTTTGTAGCAAAATAATTTACACTGATTCACTCCATAATTTTTCTTTTTTATCACTTAAAAAATGCACTTATTATGCTCATTCACCGTTCGAGATATTGGCAATCTTCAGACAAACATGATGATCCCATTTACAAATAAATTAAGATATAATGATAACTGATGTATAAACTACGCAATTTTTACAAAAAAAATTAAAGCAAAACAAAATGCAAAAAAGTCTGAAAGATTCCCGCACATACCTGTCATTATCTCCACTCTGACCTTGTCCCTCCAATTTACCGTTTTCCAATTTTCGCACCATCGATGATTTATGTTGCTCTATTTGTTTCATTAGTATTTCATCACATCGACTAGTAGATCGGCCTTCTAGAGAAACACTTGGTGCTGAACCCGTCTTCTCTGTGAGATCGTTGTCAGACTCTAAAAAAGAAAGGAATTTCTAAGGTTTTCAGTCTGCACTAAAGTAAGAAAATATTGAGGAATATTGATCTACCATAATCTCCATTTGCAACATATTAGTCAATGGAGATTGTAAAGCAGATGATGCTTGGGCACTGAAGGATTGAATAAAAAATAACAATATTGATAGTGGTTAAACTTGCAAGCTAAGACAGAAAATAAAAGATGGCTGAGTCTAATGCTTACCACTGCTAAAACAACACAAGTTTGATGCTGTGAAGTTATTACAATTTAACTAACTGATTGAAAACAATGATGCACTTCGGTCGATAATGGCGGCAATCAGTGGACTGGATGAATTTTTATGATTTAGTGCGATAACATTAGTAGTAGTAGTAGCAGCAGTTGGAACGTTTTTCTCGCTGACTGGAGTTGAAAGTGACACAGATGAATCTCCATTCCCGTTGTTTTCCTCTCCAATGTGTATACCATTCGTTTCATCCACTTTCCTTCAAAAAAATCAAATTCTTCTAATAAATTCCAATCATATCATTCTGTAAAACAAGAAGTCATCAAAATTGAAATCACTAAAATTCCAAAAATCCAAAAAAAAAATTGACGTTTCAAGGACAAAAATATGAAGAAAATGCCGATTAGGCATATTCTAATAAATCAACATACACCACATAAATCGCATATAAAGCGGTAAAGTTAAAGGAACAAAATGCGCAATAAAATGTCTTAACACTTGAACACAACATACTCATTCATGTGTTGCTCCTTGTCGATTTCATCAGCGGATTCCGCAGCCAATTTTGCCTTAATCCTTTCAATCTTCAATAACTCCTCACGATCTTCACGGTCTGTTATTTCACGGTAATCGGGTTTTGTCACCTAATGACAAAAGCGATTGAGTAATTAACCAGAAAAATAATAGTTCTAATTTGATTGCTAAATTGCCTATTTAAAGCGCACGTAGTAAAATCTTCAATTCAGAAAACTTGGAATCTTATTAAGTTCTCAAAAAATTGTTTTATCCCTTCAATTTTTGAAAGAAGACAAATTACTGCTTTAAGAAAGATCTTCATTGGTTAAATATTTCGTAATATCAACGTGCCAAGCTGACAATAGCAATACATGAAAGGATTATTAGATTACACATTATGAGAATTGTGCTACTATCTTATCCTTAGCCAATTGATGAACACATACGAGTTTATCAATAGTAGTAACAATATTCATTTTAAAATTTAATGGAGTTAACACGCTTAGTTCGAACAAGCAACTAATTTGATTAATAGCGTTGAATTTAAAGCAATTTCAATGGTTAAAAAAATAGGTATTTGAGAGACTGACATCTTTCTCAATTTCTCCAACAAATTCAACGAAATAAGGAATAAAATGTTATTTAGCCTGATTATCTTCCCTGTCTCTCCATACAATGCAATAGATTTTTTTTCGCGACCAGATAATTAAGCCGTAATTCTTAAAGCAGCACCGAAACTTCAAGCTTGATTTTATTAGCAAAATTTCACCTAATATTGGAATAAATGATATTAATGGTCCTGAGAGTTTGGTGTCTGGGAATCGTAGTACCTGAGATAAAAACCGGAATTTACGATCATTATTGACATCGGCAATCATTAATTTGACTCGATTACTGTCCTTCGCGAATGTTACTGGTTTGTTAGTACAGTTCAGTATGCAATCTTTTAGCTCCAGCATGATTGGCTCACGATTTAAACCAGCTAACCATTCACGAAACGACAGCGATGGAGTTGGAGACCGCGTTGCCGGGTACAGGTCGGCTTGGAATCCATCAGCCTAAAAAATTACTTTGCCAAAACAAAAGATATCCTTTTCAAATCCCCGTCAATTATAAATTTTTAATACTATTCGAAGTAAATTTACGATGATTAAAAAAGCCATAATCACACGAAATACGAGTCAGCTACGAATCAACTGGTACCTTTCAACCATAACATTAAACTTCAATATCGCATGTTATTTAAATTGCGATGCATGTCCCTTATTGCAGATACAGCACATACTAGTATGCTCAACAAAAGATATACGACCATTAAAAAGAATGATACTCATATTAGCAACGATGTGACAGAGTCCAGGAGAAATGATGAAAAAGTTTGAGTATCACAAATACATCATTCAAAGACGTCTTCGAATTGTACCGTCCCTAGCTATTTCCAAAAAAAAATCAAAATAGAAAATTAATTCGAAATTGAAAATATTATTTTTGTAATTCGAACTCCAAAAGGAAACGGGGAAAAAGGCTAATAGAAAAAAGGTATTCCTCTTAACAAACAAAATGAAAAATATTTTGTTGGTACACTTGGCTATAGTAAATATCTTTTTATATCTCATCTTGTTTAATGTCTGATAATTCAAAATAACTTTGTTTATGAATTTAGAAGCTTTCAAAACTATAAAACAAAAGCTACATGAAGGAATAAAGAAAAAAAGAACGAAAGTCAGCTAAAAATTTCACAAGTCATTTGATTTTTGCAGCCATAGTGTCCTCAAAAAATAAAAACAATCGCTTCAAGATTCAGAACTAACTCTTCTCGGAACAAAAAACGACAGTGGTTCAATAACCAGTTGCTCAGCATCCACTCGAAATATCCTCATAACTTCGCATTGCAGCACGTTGAGACCACGTTTGGGAAGTAGGCATACCGCTGTTTGTGCTTTGGAGCCGGAAGACTCATTCAAATAGGATATAAATGGTGATTCTTTTGATAATTCATAAAATCGAATATTGGCATCACCCTAAAAAATTATCATAACATTAGTAAAATTCAACGTCAAAATCTATAGATTAGAAACTTCAATAAAATGCCACAAAATAAACAATTTGTAACCATTTGAAAAACAAACTTTAAATCTACCTTTCCAGCAATGTACAATAAATTGAGATCATTATCAACCATAGGCATGAGGAAACCAGACCCGCCATCGATATCCACAACAGTTAACGGTGCATCCAAAGGCCGAGAATTATAGATAGCTACTTGTCGTCGAGTACTCCGTGAACTACCAGTCGTTATAAGACGCTCGCTGTTATTTTTCCCCGGTATTCCATAGAATAAAACTCGTGAAAGCATAGTACCATCATGAGCAAGCTGTGTGCTACGCTGTTTTTCACCCGTACGTGCATCGTAAATTGATAACTCATGCGACTTAGTCGTCACAACAAATTCAGAACAATTGTAGCTGAAATTATACGTTCCCATTTTATTAGTTTTTCAAGATATATATCTAGATTCATCACCACAATTTCAAGACTAAAGAAAGTTCCAAGAAATTCTGAAAGCCATAGCGCTTAATAAAAGTATACTAGTACTTACCTTTTTTTGAAGAATCCACTGATTTCACTTTAAGTTAAAGCAAAGCAACTTTATTATAAGCAGTCTGAGATTAATCAATAACTTAAAAATTTATAAAATGACGACAAAATATCACTTTCCTTAATCCATTACAATTATCGGATCTGTTCCCTTTCTTGTCTCGCCTATTCCAAATATTTATCATGATAGTATGCAATCTTTTTAGTCCCACAAGCTCTAAAAATTAGAAAGAATAAATAACCTTAAACTCATTGAAACGGCATTGCAATCTTCAATTTTATATACAATGTTATCTGTTTCAATATTCCACAGTACTATTCGACCATCCAATGAAGCCGAAAAGACAGCGTTATCAACCGTTGTATGCCATTCAATTGTATGAACGCGCCGGGAATGTGCTCTGGATATTCGTAAACAGCTGAAATTTGACAAAAATTAAGCCATAATTTAAATGCTACACTTAAGCTTTTCATCTTCATTAAATAGCCTCAGTAGTACACAATTTCATAAACGGCTCAAGATGTTTTTGCAGTAAATTTGTAACTTTCGGTGAAATTGGAAATCTCTATTTTAGGTTAACAATTTTAATTTACCGATTTAATAGATTTTTCGATTTAGTTTGCTCAGAAAAAAGTATCATGTGTTTATAATTTTTAGTGATAATCAGAGCAGTATTAATAAGCTTTCTAATCTTTCTAAATCAAAAATTCTTCAACCCAAACTCAAAGTACTTTTGACAGTTCCCTCCAATGAAAAATTGCATTAGTAAGAAAACAAATCATACAAATTTCCGTTTTTTGATCTTAAATTTCTTTGATGCTAATTGTCAAATTTCACAAGAAGCGGAAATTATAACCGAATTCTCAGCATATCATCGATATGCCATATTCGAACTGTGGCATCGTGAGATCCGGTAGCTAAAACGTTATCATTGAAAGGGTTCCATTTTACATCACATACAGCACCCTGGAATAAGTGTCTTGGTTGTTATTAAAGTTATACAAAAGCATAGATGGAAAGATTTGTCGATCTTTATTTCCTTTAATAATAAACAAGTGATTCAGATCCTGCTTATTCTTTAAAAGGATTAGGATGCATCTGCTGAACAATAGCATATACAAAGTAGACAAGAGGAACTCAGTAAAAAAGAGTGATTAAATATCCACCAGTAATGGAGTACTTCAGAAACAAAATAGCTAATTTTAAATGACAAGAATACTTCATGATCCTTAATTTTGCCCAATTCCATTCGCCCTCGACCCATACGATACAGTTTGGCAATTTGAACAACGCCACCAGCAGGAACATCGATAGCCAGTGCAATCATCTTCGGATTCGCGGCTACCGCTAACCCGTGTCCCGGCCCCGTATCGTACCATTCACTACGCCGTACACTTTTAGAATACACATGACGAAACCGCGAATATTTCAACTTCGATAAAGCTTCTGAAACTTCTTGAGGTTACTTTTTCATAACAATCTTCTTCATTGAAGAAACAAAAAAAAGACATTCTTTTTTTTATTCCTCTTCAATGATCCTTCTAGAATTGATAAAGAAGGGTATTCGTCATGACACACCACCATCACTTTTTAACTTTTTCTTCATACATCTAAATGAGGGCGAAATTAAACTAAAAATCTTTCGCTAATTAATCACGTTAATTGCTACGACCTTCTGAATACTTTGAAAAAAACTTCAGTTAAAAAAACCAAAAAAGGAGAAAGAAATCAAGACTGAAGTCCTGTGATAGAAAACGAAATTTTTCCAAGTGAAAACCAATAGCATAAACTTTGTCAAAATATATTAAGTTTCAGCTAATGTGAACTTGAACCGCCGCTATTTGGGCAATTTATAGCGCATAGCCGTAAAGTTATCGAGATGAAAAATGAAACTATAAAAATTATTTGTACTGTTTGATAACCAATAAAAATTATAAATAAATCATAATATGACTATTAAGAATTAATAGAAGTGCAAAATTACTATTAAGCAAAAGACTCAGTTATCATCAATTATTTCCAGTACCATTATCATATCAAATATCAGCAGTTTTCGATACATATAGATGAACTTCTTCATTAAGTTCATAACGTGCTTGCAATTTAATTCGTCAATCAATCAAATTTATGCAATTAATGCAATTAAGCTCTCTTTCTTCTTTCTAAGTAAAACCTTTAAATATATTTGAAAGATGGATTATATATATATAAAAAAGCGTAATGAAACTCACCGGACATAATTTTGGAAAATGTTTCGTGCAAAACGTTACCAGTGTTAGTAGGAATAACCCACGATAGGAATGTAAACAATAAACATCACTGAAATGGAAGAAAATCATTGAAAAAAAATACTGTTCATGAAAGTTTATGAAAGTATACGATGATGAAATCTTCGTATAAACAATGCAAAATAATAGCAAATTTCAGATTTCAATCAATTTCAGTGCAATTCAACAGAAAAATAAATCACAATGAAAAGGTGCATTAGTTTACACTTCGACCTAATGAAAAGATGCATTAATCAGTTGTAGAAATTGTCAAGTTAAGATGATAACGACAAGTAATGATAACAAATAAACATAGTGTATAATCATCTACTTGATCGTACCTACATAACTTATCTCTAATTCTCATAAAACATGTTATTCGATAACTATTGATTACATTTCAATCAATGAATTCATATCCACTGATTATCTTGAATCCTAGAAAGTGACAAATGACATTTGGAAATAGCTCACACTATAAAGTAACATTTGACAAAAGTGGAGAACAGGTTCGAAATCGAAACCTTCGCGCGCTAAATTGAAAAATCTCCGGGAAGTTCATAATAACTAATAATAATTACAGTAATAACTATAATAATAATAACAACAGTAATAATAATAATAATAACTACAGTCAAATCTGTTGTAAAAACTGAGCCTTACTTGATTGAGCCTATCTGAGGAAATGTCCAAATAAAATTTCAATCTTTTAAAGTTTTAAATTTTACACCTTATTTTCATATAATTCTATGAAAAAGCGCTACAAATAAAACTCAGGAAGTGTTTGCATAGCTTCGTGCCAGCTACATTTTAAGCCCATCTTCACATCTTAATTTCAAATTACAAATTGTAACATTTAGGATCAAGATAAATTACTGAACTAATTGCAGGAAATTAAGCAATAAAATATAAGAAACAAAATGACTTCTGGAAATACGCTTTTCAAATTCTTATAAAATTGTTGAAATTACAATGTGAAAGTAAATAAATCGATTTTAACAATATAGATCGAAGTAAACAAATGAAAACAAGAAGTAAATAATGAAATCGGAAAAAGAGCATTAGAAATGATGCTTTCATGAATATCAGGATACTCTTTAGAATAAAAATCATTCTTCTCTATTCCATTCCATTCCATTCCATTCCGTCTTGTAATAGTTTCCAGTCGATCGTAATGTCCGGAAGAGATAATTTCAAGATTAAAAAAGAAAAAGAAAGAAATTCGAAAAATTATAAGTAGTCGTACGATATTGCCAATATACTACTGTTCATGTAATTCTATCACTATCTTGCTTCTCTTTCGTATTTAAAGTATTTCTCGAAACCAATCATTAGACGATAGCAATAGTGAGAATTAAAAAAAGTTGGAAAATAATAAATTGTTAAATCTTAAAATTGCTTACTTCAAAAAAAAAAATTCTAATTTCATATTCTAATCTTTAGCTATCATCAAATCTATATTTCAATTTCAACTCAATCATAATCAATTACTCATATGCTTGAAAACTATTAAATAAGAGTGGGGAAAAAAGGTGATAAAATATAGAAAGTACAGTATCATCATCATCATCATCATCATTATCATTATTATTATCAGTCATCATCATTCAACCAATAATTGAGCACTTGAAATAAAGAATGTATTGATGAGAGCTGACCTTCTTCATTTTATCCATATGTTCATATCATCATTCCATATGTACAATACATCCGTCTAATTCTTTCCTAACAGATATATGCAAATTTGTTCACTATATTTAAAAAAAGATCAACGAAATGCAACAATTATTTGAGAGAATGACATCAGTTCAATCGTATATGTGAGATAGATAGTAGAAAGAAGAAGAGGATGATTTCGATTTTCATGAATCATTATGTATGCAACATAATGATAAAACTAGAACTGACAAATATACTACCAGTTTAGAAGAGTGTAAATTTGTTTGAAATACATTGAAACAAACAACTGCGATAGTTTTCGAGCAAAACCGTGCAATTAAAAGTGATCACATAGCGTATAGCATCTTTCACACCATGAACTGCATAATAGATGATGATGAGATTCAGGAAGAGAAAGAAGACCGGTTTGAAATAGGAACAATAATTAAAATACTATAGCACATAATAATTGAAATTCTTCTCTAAACACTCAACTCTTTCCCGGATGTAAAAGGCACTAGTCGAAATGGCATAATCTAAATATCCTCCAATGAGTATAATTTTTAGTCTTATTCTCCTCATTTTGATGATATGCAAATTTCTGCATAAACTATAAAAACAATTTACACTAGTATTGTTTACTTCAGAAAGAGAAATTATTACTATTAAGGAAAAGTAAAGTCTTCAAATGAAATGGTGGAAAAAATTAATTCCTACCTGAATTAGGTTTGGATTAATAAATTTCTTTTTTTTTGTAGTAAAAGAAGCGGTAAGAAAAACTAATAAGATGGAAAAGTTTGCTTTGAAGAATCATGAAAACGAATTATGTAAACACACCGATAAAAGATAAGACAACACGAAATATAAACGATAAGATAAATTAAAGCATATATCAACAAGTTTACGAAATGAAAGAGAAGTTTATTTTTAAGCAATTAGGTTAAAAAAAAGGGAAAGGAGCTTCCTTTATGTTCACTGAAAATTGGGTACTATCAAACTCTTTTTTAATTCAATGAAAGTTATCATTTATCAGTAAATAATCAAATAAATTATTATTAGATGAATAGGCATTATGTAACTTTGAAATATACGGATAGAGTTGAAGAAAAGGTATAGATCCAGTTCATTGAATATTAGAGAATTGGAAATGATTGGCATTTAATGCAATCGGTCAGATGTTCCGGTAAAATCGGTAATCTAAACGATATTTATTTATCGTTGAAAAGTGGAAAAAAGGTCGTGAAAAAAAAATCTATCAAAGGTCATTTTGTCAAATGTGAAAACAACCATGAAAGAGACAAATAATAAATCGATAAAACAATAGAAAAATTTTTTGCATTGCTATTAAATAAATAAATTTAGACATTAAATAATAATTGATAGATATCGGAAAATATATGTATGATATATGATTAGTTACATAGATCAGACGATGTAGCAATAAAATACTACAAATAACGAATGTAATCAGCACTTTACATCTTTATCTCTCAATGGATTGACGTCAGAATGGAAAATAAAAGGCGCATTCACGTGATAACTTCCTTAACAAGGCCACTTATCAAGATAATAGATGATGATTCATAAGCATGATAATTTATAGGAATCTTTCCTACTTCAAATATATATGATAAAAATTTGAAAATATCGATCAAAGTGGCAGGAACGGATGAGGAATGAATGAATGATTCTTTCTCTTTTTTTTACTATAGATGAGGGAATTGAATGTTCGGTCATCGAACTATCTATCGTTTGCTGAAAACTTCAATCTTCCTCTATCAATCCATTTTCTTCTGATGTATAAAAGCTTTCTTGCTTTGAGAATGAATAAGTCTTTACTTCTTCTCTTCTCCTCTGATCTTTTACATTGTCCTCATTCTTCAACAAAATATTGTATATATATATATATATACATCATTTCTCTTTGTCTCTTCCGTTGAAAATTCATACATAAATCTCTCCTCAAAAATTCCGCCATTTGCGTGGTGGTCAACAACATCGAAGAGAGAGAAGAAAAACTTTTTCAAACTCTTTCTTTCTCAAAATCAATTTTACACTTTTATGTACAATGAAAAAGGATAATTTAGCAATCATATAAAAAATCACTGATTGACCTTTCAACTCATTCTCTTATTGATCGCGCTTTATCTGGGTCAAAAAGAACTAAAATCACTCAGCTTTCAGATCACTCAGCTATCATTTATTATCAAACAGTTATCACATATCTGAACGATACATAATACTTGAAGTTTCCCAAAACCAAATTTAAAAAAATCCATTTTCTCTTAGCCGTGTTTCTATGGATATTTAAAAATTTCAAAGCCAAATAAAAAATGCATAAAAGTGCTATTATCATATCCATAAATTTCGAAATTTCAATGGTAATTCTGGCTTAATTGAAAAACCCTTTGACAGATAATTGTCATCTTATATCACTTGTCATCAGCAAAAGCAATTTTTGAATTTCAATTTGTATGTCATTAAGCAGAAAAATCGTTAAAACAAAGAAAGTGAAAACAAAGAAAATTATTGCAAAAATTAGCAATTAAAAAAAAGAATTAAAATCCATAAATTATCTTGTGAAGAGATTTGTCAGAAGATGAAATGAAGCGATAAATAGCTTAAAAATAAACTGTTCCCCTGAAATAATTATATTTAATATTATATGAAACCTTGTATC